AAGATTGTCTCCAAACTCCTTAGCGTGGGCTGTGAAACAGGCCTGCAGAAACGGTTGCCAACTTAGTTCTATAGCTTCACTCCCATTCTGATCTTCAGTACAACTAGTGCTCAGTCGCATAAAATCACTTACTCTTCCTCAGGCTTTTTGTTTTATGCTTTATGACCTCTTTATTTTACAAGTACATCTGCTGAGTTCTCCCTGCTTGCTTTTTGTCCTCTGGCAAACTCTTACGCAAACTGGATGAACCAGATCAAATGCCACCTCTTCTGTGAAAATTCATTTTCTTCTTCTCTCTCTTCATGGTTTACTACCCTTTGAAAATATGTTGCCTTTATGAAACCTGACATATGATTGTTATTTTCTGTAGAGGCAAACATTCTAGATAGGATAAAGAAGACATGAAAATTACCCAGATGACCTCCACTCACAGATGTGTCTCTGCATAGAGATACCTTTAAGTAATAGTTGTAGCTACACGCAAATGGGGTCCACTATGATACAGCACTTGGCCTTTTTTTTTTCCAACTCATCATTATGTCACAGGTATCTTCTACTATCAACAGAAAGAGATCTATGTGCTCTTTTTAGTGGTTGCCTAGTATTGTTTTATGTATCATTTCCTCAACTTGCTTCTTGTAGAGGCACAATCAAGTCCCAGTTGCTCAAATTATTGTAAATAATACTGTAATGAGCATTCCCCCATGCTTTGAAAATGTCCTGACACATATCCCTGATCACATTGGACATAATTATCTGTGAGCATGTCTTTCCCACCAGAACTAGTATTAGTTCCCAGAGGGCAGAAACCACCATTTCTCTTGGCACCTTCAGACCTTGCAGGGTGCCAGTAAGAGCTTAACATATATTGTTGAAAGAAAGAAGGAATATCTGAATGGAGGTTTATATAGTTGGACACACGTGTGTATCATCATACGTGTCTCCAGTTCTGGTTTTCACTGGCCTTGAGCCTGTATCTCTTTGGCGTTATACAGTTCTCTCCTTGTTTCTGACCCTTTTTAACAAACACCATTGCCAATGACATAAATTCAATTCATAACTTTAAGAATTAGAATATTGCCAAACCATGACCCTTGCCCCTGCCGCCAGCCCCCGACCCATAGGTTTTTGTGACCTCAGAACAGATTTTATAAGTGGTTCAGTAAAAAGTGCAGATTCTTGACATTCTTTGACTTACCCTAAGCAGAGATGAGGTTTTGAAACAAAGTATCAGGTACAAGAAAAAAAAACACATAGTGTGTGTATTGCATACTATTTACAGCTATTGTCCATTACGGGTTTTCTGGAGCACAATTTGCTGCTGCAACTGAATAGTCCCATAAGTTTAAGTCACCACTGTGATGGCAAAATAGCTTTAAATCACAGAGAGGAAGAAAGGAAAAACAACTAGAAATGGCCTAAAATGCTGCTTATGTCTTCATGAGAACCCACAGTTTTCCCTATTTGCTTTTTCAGGATGCTCAGAACAGCCTGTTAGGTCTTGAGGTGTATTACAATGTAGAAATTATCAACTGACTCTCCAGAGGGAGAATCATGTTATTGACATCTCTTTGCAAAGGCTACATTTAGCTTACTGACCAACGCCCTACATAGTACTGGGCGTCAGAAAACGGGAGCCAGCTGGCCCAGACAATGCGAGCGTTCAGTTGGTGTTGACAATTTACAAGAGCTTAAGCTGCTATTTGTATTTCTTCCTGCTGGGCTGGGAACACTTACAATTGTTCAAAATGCTGTAAATGAACATAGTTCAAAGACCACAAAGAGAATGATAGGGAATCATAGAAATGAAAATGGGCCACTGATTGGGTATAAATTCATCAAGCCTCTTTCTCAACAGATTCTTTACAGGCATGCCAATACAGCTTGTTTTTGGAAAGTAACTGTAAGTAAATGATACAGTGGGATAGTTGACCTTCAGGGAACTTCAGTTGTGCTCAGCTAGCCAACTATATATCCCCTGCTTCCAGTAATCTTATTTAGTAAGTTCCAGTTAGCAAGTCATTAGTTTTATATGCAAAACATCCAATCCAATACTCAATTTCTTCAGAAATTTACATAACTCACCTTGGTATACAGTGGTGGGACCAAACTCTGGAATTTGAAATAGGGCTCTAAAAATTGTTCTCTATTCTTCTAGGTCCTACTGTCTCTGATAAAATAAATGTGTTACCTATAATAACATCAGATTTTTTTTTTCTGAAACATGTCTTCGGCATGTCTTTCTCTTGCTGAAAAACCTGTCCCTGACTTTCTGTACCTTTAAGTAGTGGTTCTCAACGGTTCTGTTCTGGAACACAAGCATCCTATGTTCTTGTAACTCTCTTTCACTCTTTTCTCCTCAATCTGGAAAATATTATTTATAGGGTGGATATGAAAACTGATCGTATATAAGTGAGACTAGATTTTATCAGGACATAGCAGAAGTGTGATTGCATTAGCCTGGCAACATGGTGGTTTTGATGGTCTCAAATATCCAGCCAAAGCGCTAAAGAAGCTAGTGAAGCTATAAGGTCACAGCTTAAGGAATCTTTCGAGAAGCCTGACTCTTTATACCTTTATAGTCACCATCTTTAGCAGGTGACTGATTCTGCAGTTGACTTCCTCACTTGAAGTATCATATCTACATTCAAGAAAAAGGAGAAGAGGAAGGTCAAGAAACACAGACCAGGAAAGCATTTGTCAGGGACAGACTGAATCAGTTTTCTAGACAGACTCACCCTGCTACCGTTCATGTCTCACTGGCCTCAGCTCTGTCACGTGGCCACTCCTCCCTAGAAGACGATCCACAGAGCTGGGTGTTTGAACCTGGGCACTTTCTTTCCCTCCCCAGAATTGGATCTGGTAGTAAGAAAGAACGAGAGAGGGAATACAGGACAGGCAACCAGCAGCTTGTGCCGTGTGTGTGTGTGTGTGTGTGTGTGTGTGGTGTGCATAATACATATTTTACAAGCAAAAATTGACGTTTATTGGTAACCAATGATTTGTCAGTAGAATCTGTCACTAATAGCGTACCAGTAAGACACTGACTGCATGGTTGAGAACTTGTGACCTACAGAATAAAGTCCAGATCCTCAAATACAATATATCAGGAGGGACCTTACCAGTTTAACACCAGCCTACTTTAATAAAAGACACCATTTTCAGTCCCTTTGTCTCAGCCACTCTCCGTTATTGGATGCACCAGTTTTCAATCCTCTGTGTTCTTTGCATGCATCTTTTTCTTTGCTTAGAAAACCATTTGTCACCTTCTCTCTGGATGATACTTACTCTGCAAGACCCCGTCCAAACAGTATCATATCTCTGGAAATGTTCTTACCTTTTTCAGTCAAATCTGTATTCGGTGCTTTATGAACACCTCCATTAGTTCACTTGTATGTTTGTCACTACTGGCAAATGCTGTGGCCTCTAACAGAACAAGGACTGTCATTTATTCAACTTTTTCTACCAAGTGCCTCCTGCAGGTTCTGGAATATGCTCAAGACATCTGCCTAAGGAAAAACATAACCAAATATTATCCCCCATATATACATGATCTACAGATTGCTGGGGTGACCTGCCCTCACCATAGTCAGTAAAAATGTATTGATCTATGCCTCTTAAACCTTGATTTCCATGGCTGTCAACAGATAGTGTTTTTCTCTTAACTGATGATAGTAGTAATATAATTTAGTAACTTAAAAAGTTCTTTGTATCTTTTACTACATTGTTTTTAGCTGTGTTATTGAGAGTTAATCAGTTTTGTCTTTCTTTGCAAAGAATTGGAGACATAGTTTGTTCTCTCAAAAAGGCTACTGTTTAAAGGAATAAGATCCATACTTAAATCATAGTGATTTGAATGAAATGGAAAGAAATAACTAGGTGAATATTCAGGTGTTCAGTGACCAGGGTATTATATTTGGCTTAGTTCTTGTCACTGGGGTGGTTTTAGGAGTGATGTGGAGTTGGGTGAGGATACAAAGGGAAAAGAGAGTCAGAAAACATGCACACAATTGGACAAAGGGCTAGAGGAGACGTGTGGAGTGCTGCTAAGATGCCACATCTTCCCCATTCCCAGCCCGAGTGTATAGTTACAGACATCTCTAATCAATCAAAAGACATTTTCCACCTGAGCCCAGAGGTGGTCTCTGAATACATCACAGCACTGTAACGTTGCATATGTCTTTTACCAGCAAAGGAAGGAAGGCAAAAAGCCTATGTTTCTCTCATCAATGCATTCTCCATAAGGTCTCTTCAGATCAATAAGCTCCCTGTGACTGGGCAGAGAGTGTTTTCTTGATTCCTTTGGCAAAGTAAAAAAAATACTGCAACTCAAAGATGGAGCTTCAGATATTTCACTCTTGTCAAATCTCTCTCAAGCATTGGGCTTAGTGTCTTCTAGTCACTAAAGCAAGTTCTGCACTGACTCCTGTTTCTTCTGGGGCATGAGAGTGACCATCCTGCCCCAGACTTTATCATTGAGAGGGGAAGGAACAATGTCCTGAATGCAAGCAATATGCCAAGTGCTTTATATTTACATATTTTTGTTTTTTTATAACAACCACACGAGGACCGTGTCATTGTCCCCATTTTGCAGATGAGAAAATAGGCTTGGAGAAATTAAATCATTTGCTTAAGATCTTACAGCTGCTAAGGGATGAAAGTAAGATTCAGCCTCAGATCTGTGACATCCACCATTATGCTATTGGACTCTGGAGAGCTAATTGTGTCTTTAGTCTCAATAAAATCTGCTTCCTGGATTCTTTCCATGCCTCTAAAGTACTTATGTTGCAAAACAGCCTTGACCCTGAACTATGTACTTGCTTGAGTCTTGCAGACTGTAGAGGCAGATGGAAAATGGATAAATGTAGAACAGATGCGTATTAGAAACAACCTATTTTGACTAGGTGCTCATCAGGTGTATTTCTGGTCCCCTGGAGATTATCTTGATGGAAATGGAAAGTATATTTAGGTTTAATTTTCTCATGTCCATTTTTCTGCAGGGCAGCGTCCATACCAGGTGATCACTGCCCGAGTTCACCCAGGAGAGAGCAATGCTAGCTGGGTGATGAAGGGGACCCTGGAGTTTCTGGTCAGCAGTGACCCTGTGGCTCGGCTCCTGAGGGAAAACTTCATTTTCAAAATCATCCCCATGCTCAACCCAGATGGTGTCATCAACGGCAAGTATGTCAGGGCCCTGGCCCAGCCTGGCCCTCTTTTATGTCTCCATAATTACACATTGTCACATTGCCTACTGGGTGTGGTTAGAGAGGCATTGATACTTGGGCAGGAATAAATTTCTTGGACTTCTGTTAGGGGGTACGAATAACACATGCTCTCCATACACGTTGATGTCAGTCTCATAGTTTCTTTGAATCTAAAGAATTAGATTTACAGGCAGTTCATACCAGAGGGAGCCTTAGAAATAATCTAGATAAACACTCTCCTTTTAAAAAGGAGAAAATTGGTGTCCATAATAATCAAATGACTTGCCCAGATCATATGGTGGCTTAGGGACAAAGTCAAGGCTCAAACTGTGACTTTATTGCAGCTAAGACCAATATTTTTATTTCCTTACTAATGTTTACTGCAGAGAAACCTTTATTCTCTGGTGTACTTTCTAAGATTCTGGCTACAGCTCTAATAAAGCTGTCACCTTATCTCAATAGAATGGCTGGCATGGTTGAAAATGGCTGTGGTATGGCTGAAAGTGGGTTCCTCCTTCCACTGAATTGTCTGGGGTCTGGTACAGGAGGGGAAGGCAGTGTGGTGCTTCTCTTCATTTAGTTCCTACGTGCCTTCAGAACATAGAAAGATGAGGTGTGTAGGAAGGGGTCAGCGTTTTCTGAGTTTGTGAGCTGAACCCCAAATATCAGAACAATCCCCAAGGTCACACAGCCAAGTGGCAGGGTTATATCCACAAAACCTGTCTCAAACCTTATGGAAAGAGACTAAACACCCTTCTTATGGAACTAGTTGGTTCCTTTTACTATAAGAAAGGGCATATTGGTATCCTAAGGAAAACAAACAGAATACAAGATAAATAGAAAAATTGAAAGAAAAAGCATTCTCAAAGGCCCAAAATGAAAAAAAAACTTTACCATAATATCAGTACTAAAGCAGAAAAATTTCAGGTTTAGCAGACTGAGAAAATAGAGCAATATTAAAAAGGTGAAACAGAATAGATACAATAAGAGTTAATAAAGATATAAAAAAAGAAAACAATTTAAAGAGATAAAATTGAAATGACTTAAAATAAGTAAGAGACTGCTTTAAGAAAGATCAAATAACAATTAGTTTGTTTAAGAAAAAAGCTAAATAAATGTTAAACAGTTGAGAATAGAGTAGCTTCCCAGGACGAGCATAAAAAGGGGTTTTGGTCAGTTCAAAAGGTTAAAAATTTAAAGATGATAAATATAAGAAGAGGTTCAGAATAAATTCCAAATGATAAAATACGTTAAGCTATGCTAACATGCAAGCAGGCCACAGCTATAGGCTGTAAAAAGAAAATTTCAATAGACACATGCACAGAAAAGGAAGAAAGGTGAGTGAGGCATCTATGTGTTCCTAACAAGTTTCTTCATTCAGTAGCTCCCAGACTCCATTTTTTTTTTGGGTGGAGGGTTTTTTTGGGCAGAGAGCAGAGTTCTTTGTCTTCGCCAGGGGTGACTGGTTGGTCTTCCCGCACGAGTGAGAAGCAGGAAGCCAAGTCCTGTAAAGAGCATCAGCGGGCTTCAGGCAGCAGGTGTGCTTCCTGTTTCTGGAGCTGGATAAAGCCTCAAAACTAAAGAGTTCTCCCTCAGCTGGCTCCTGCCATGCCTCCTTTAACTTCAGAGAAGAGCTCGAAGACATGGATGAATGGCTCCTCCCTCCTGGAGGGGCCAAAGATTTTATTAGCAAGGTTTCTCAGCATAAATGGATGGAAAACAGCTATGCAAGCCATCCTGAGGGACATGATCCTGTTTCAGCATTCTCTCATCCACACTGGCTCTTCTCTGGAGTTCCTCCTTCCATTGAATTGTCTGGGGTCTGGTACAGAAGGGACAGAGCCCTGGCTTTACAGCCATAACTCTAGTTTGGAATTCGTGCTTTTCCCATGATCTTCTCAGTTTTCTCTTCTGTTGGAAGAGTAAGATAACATGTTCCCTATTGACCTGACTGGGAAAGGTCTCCTAAGCCCAAGGCAGAATCCAAGCTTGGGTATAAGGATTGTAGTTTCTCCCATTTCAAGGGCTCCCACCTCCAAATCAGGGGTTTGATTTAGGTCTTTGGTTGAAAGGCTAATGTGGTCTCAGTCACTAAGCATCCTCCTTGCCTGGATACAGTTATTTTCAGCTCACAGCTGGCCGTTTTGGATTCCCTAATGGCAGGCCAGCTTCTTCTCAGTGACACTGCCATTCATCATCATTACCATTATTTATTATGACTAAAATTACTCTTTTTATTTATATAGCATCTTTCATCATGGAGCTCAAGGCACTTTACAAAATACTTAGATCACCCAATCCATTTTGGCTGAAAGGGGACTTGGAAATCAAAACACTATTCTACTGATAGAAAATATACAGGTCATTGTCAAAAGACTTGGGTTGCCATGGATGCATAACATCTCACAATAGAAGGGCTTGAATGGCTCAGCTCATGAACTCTCCTTAGAACCTACCTTATACCCAGTTTATCTAACTTCCACATGCATTCTTTCTATGACTGACAGTCCGTTTCATGGCATGCCCATTCCTCCACCATTTTTTGGGTGGAGGGTTTTTTTGGGCAGAGAGCAGAGTTCTTTGTCTTCGCCAGGGGTGACTGGTTGGTCTTCCCGCACGAGTGAGAAGCAGGAAGCCAAGTCCTGTAAAATCAGGTAGATTTGTGTTTTTCTGTGTTTTAACCTTTGTCCTATGAACTTCACACATTTTAGGCAGCCTTACCTTGTGCCCCGTGGGTAAAATCTAATCTTCCTTTTACATGCTTTAACTTTCGTATGCAAAGTCCTCTCCAAGTTTTGAGTAGTTCACCTACACATTTTTTTATATGATATTGGTTCTGATCTTCATTGATTTTCTCTGTTCACGTTCATATTAGTAGACTTCTTAGAACTAACAGAACTGCCCTGTGTGTGGTCTGATCGGTGAAGAGGTAATCCTGTCTAAGATTAGAAAGCCTCAACCTGAACTCAGCACTTCACTTACTAGATTGTACTCTTTTTCCACAAGTAAGCATGTGCCCCCATGGAGTTTGCAAGAATGTGTGAAAGCGGAGTGGTTCCCTTTTGTGGTGATGGTAATGGAGCCTCTGAGGGTGGCTGGGAGGTTTTGATAAGGTGTCAGTGGTCAGGGAGGCAAAGCCAGGATTTTCCTAACAAAAATAGCGTGCGCCTTGCCAAGCCAAAGATCTCTTAGCAATGCATGTCTGTAGCAAGAAAACAAAATACAAAGATGGTTTCCAAAAGAAACAATCTACTGTCTTGCTGGCCTGGCAAGTTTGCATTGAACTGGGTTGAGTTCTAAGTAATTCAGGAGGACCCATACTGTGGCCCACTGACTCTATAATTCTTTCCAATTGTGGGGTAAAAGAATAGGGAATCAACAAATTGGGTTAGAGCAGAAGAGATAATGGTGCCTTAATGAGTTGGATGAGGAAGGAAGTGGATTCTGGAGCTGCTTGAAGGGTAGACACGATGTGTAAGTGAGGGAGAGGAACAGATCTAGTACGATCCCCAATGTTTGCACTTTGGTTATTGGGTGGATGGTAGTAACACAATAATTTTTATAAAGTCAACACACAGCCCAATATTATATTCACAGGAGAATCAGAGCCTATTGAATCTTAGTGTATATGTATACAACTCTACAAAGTTGATTTTCTTCTTCCCAGGCCATTGTGGAACAGAAGTAAACAACAATAAAGAGCAAAGGACATACTCTAAACAAATATACCAACATGTTAGGAAGTCATAGCTGAATACCCTAGGGATGCAAATGAAACTATAAAAATCATATGAAACTCTTGACAATTTTAACTATCTGGGACCACCTAGAGTGAGTACCAATCGTCTCTTACTGTAATGTGCATTGTGAAGGCTTTATGTCACTATGATAAGAACACTCACACACTTTATCTAAAAAAAGATTATTTGGCACCTTTTACAGCCCAAGAAAGAACATCGTTCTTTTATATATGTTTTCTTATCTAATCGTAACTATGGCTGAACAAAAGTAGGTCTGCCTAATTTCTAACCGGAAAAACTCGAGTACACAGGAATAAAGTCTTCGGTGCAGTTTAAACAGTTGGGGCTGCAGAGTCTGTTTACCCTACACTACTTTTCTGTAGAGATTTAAGGGGTTTAGAATAAAGGAATCTTAAAATGTTCTGTTTGGGAGGGTTCTTGTGCATTAGTTACTCCCAGTCCTTCAAATGATAAGGAAACTGAGACTAAAAACATAAAATAAGTTATCCAAGATCACATAGCTTTCCAAGACAGAAATGGCAGGAGAAATTGTCTAACATCCAGGAATGTGCATGCATGTGTGCACATGAGTGCTTGTGCATGCGTATACACACACACACACACACACACACACACACACACACACACACAAGGTTGTGGATAGCCTGTGACAGAGCTAGGATTCGAGCCCTGTTTGCCTAGCTCTAAGCCCCATATTTATTTTAGTCTAGCAGCTTTTCCCAACCTTGGGTGGAGATACAAGTAGAGCCTCGGCCCCATCATTGGATGGTCTCAGAAATAAGTCTTGTTGACTCAGACATGACTACATCTAGTGTGTAAGGGATGACTCAAGGCACAGCCTTCCCAGCTTTCTGCAGTTTTGGCCCAGGATGAATGAATCGGTCCATCGTCAGCCCTGCTCCATGGGATTTGAATTCCCAGCTTGGGTTGGGCCTCAACACTACCTTGTCCTTCTCCCACTGGACAAAACATCCTTGTCTGTTGCTGCCAGCTTTGGGCTACAAACAGCACCCAGCTGACTGTGAATATTTTTGCCAGTGGGCTCCCATTCCACTGCCCATTCGGTAGCATCTTTTCCCTTAAAGAATGATTCGGGGGCCACAGAGGGTTTATGATTGTCCCCACCAGATTCACTCCACCTTAGGTTTGTGCCACACCTCTTCCCTCTTATTTTGATATGTTCCGAGCTTCCCTCTGATGTGACCTCAGTTCTAAT